CAATCATACTTCATCAGTTCCACCAGTCCTGTGTAATCAATTTCTGTTCTGTTATATCTTGAATTAGCAGTTTTATGAAGCTGCCTGTTTCTCAATCAAAGACTTTTGAGAATCTGACACAGTATTCAGGGATAGACTACTTAAAAGGTACAAGCAGAAGTCTATACCTAACAGTGTAGCCTTTGAATGGTCATTAGTTTAAGTGCCTGGGATAGCACCTTTCTATGGGCTTCTGAGACAGTAATTTTTTAAAGATACACTCTCTCATGTGTGGCTGATTACAGAACCTTCAGGAAAGAATTGGAGGAAAATGCAACCTACTTGTAGATGAAAAAGACTTTAACAGCTGTGGTAAGTGGACTACTGATGTTTTTCAAAGTGAAAAGTCTGATGAGTTTATAACAAGAATATTGAAATTGACAAGGAAATTTGGTTGTTTATGTGGCATGTAAAATAAAAAAAATAAAGGCCATTTCAAAAAATTTTAGATGAAATATCTACATGGACACTGATCAACCAATTTTCAAAGGCAGTATATTTCATCTGACACATTAAAATGGATGAACATCATTATTTTACGGAAAATAATCCTCAGACATAATGTAAATGGTATATACCAAGGATATACCAAGCATTTGCTCAGATTATATCAACTAAAAATGTATCAAAAACTTCAAGTGAAGAGAGCCAGTTAATCTGGAGTGAGTCCTAAGCATCTATATTTTAATAAAACTTTAGGGATAACTATAATATGCATCTCCAATTAAACGAATTGACCAAGATGATGCTAAAGTCAAGTTAAAGAAGTAAGGTTGCACCGAAGTTTTAAATAATACATGTAAGTATGAGTGATAATCCTGTATGGGGTTTATTAACATCATCAGAGAACCACCCCAAATCTACCAAATATGGAAAACCTCATCCGAACTATTTCATATTATTTCAGTGTTTTCCTTGGGCTTCAAACATATTAATTAAAATGAGGAGACTGACATATCTCTCGGGGTGCCCTAGGAAGTACGAAATTTATCAAGTATTATATTAATAACATTTTACTATACATATTTAACAGATTTAACCTACAATGAAAAGCACAGTCCTTTTACTTTAGAAGATGAATGAATAATAAGATGAAAGAGCCAAACACTCTGAAACTTCTCATAGTCTCTTAATAATAAAAATAAAATCCAGTGTATGCTTTGTTAGTATGTTGGAAAATATATACAAAATTAACCTTTAACAATGAAAAAAGTAAGCTCTCCTTTAGGACTCTGCATTGTAGGAGAGTGCTGAGTGGCCATTAGAGGGCACTGTACCCAGATTCCCCCCAGTAACTCAAGTGAGAAGCTAGAGCTACTACACACAGTAATTTTGTGCCCTCACATGTAGTTGACAGGCCAGCCTCATGAGTTTTATTCAGGGGATCCCTGCCAGAGGTGGAGGTGCTGAAAGTAATTTTAAAAGGCTTCTTTTATCCAGCGTTAAACGAAACCTGTCACTTCAGGCTTCATTTATAGCTTTTCAAATATTTTGTCATACAACATAAATAAAAGAATAATACGCATCTAAATACTCATCCCAATGTTTAATAAGGAAATGTAAGTATTTGCTTCACATTTTTTCTTAATTGTGGTAACATTTGTTTACAGCATTGTTTATGATTTAGAGGTATAGGATGTCACCTTTCAAGTGTTACTTTACACTTTGTTCCCACTCTCTGATAGTCTCAGTTCTACATTCAAATTTCTAGAGTTTGTAATTGGTTTGTTTTTATCTGGCCTTTTTTTAATCTCTCTATATTCCTCTCTATAAGTGATTACCATCCAGTATTTGTCTTTCTCCTTCTGAATTATTTTGCTTAGCATAATCCACTCCAGTTCCATCTAGATTGTCAAAAATGGCAAGTTCATCTTTTTTTATATTTTCTTCATATATTTTCAAGAAACTAAAATCAGTACAGAGTTAAAAACCTGTGAACACTCTCCCATTTCCATTTGCTTCCCTTCCTCCTGTGTTTAATAATTCTAGATCAAACACCCTCACTGGCCCAGAATACCTTGTGTGTTTATTTCTGCATCCGTGCTTTTTATTACACCTTTAGGCAATTGTTCTCTTTTTTTCCCCCCTCTTTCCAAATCCTGTCCTTCCTCCTAAATCCAAGTAGGAGCCAGTTGTAAGTCTTATGACAACTGCTGCATATCCCTTTTATCTCTTGTCTCACTTGTTAAGGCTCTAAAATTCTCTATCACACAATTTAATGTTGGCCATCTACTCTTTGAAGTAACTTATCTTACTAACCTAACTTACTTAAATGACTATTCCTTCTTGATTAGGAAATAGAGTTGATTGTTTATTTAATAAACATTCATTTAACTGACAAGTGTTTATTAATTTGAATCCAATTTCAAAACACTTTAGCAATTAAATGCAAAGCATTTGTATCCTGTATGTAGAGAATTTGCTGGGCAAACTAAACGAGTGCTTTCTTCATTCCTTGTTATTTCACATCACTATTACGGTCACTGAAACATTTAGTGAGAATATATGTGCAAGTGTCTGTGCTACATATACATCATGAGGAAATGCAGTGACATGGGACACAAAGCTTACCTAGCCCGTAGCCATCAGGCACAGGGGACAGTAGAGTCTGTAGAGTCTACTGTCTACTGAGTTCAAAGCTCAGTTTACCTGCTATAGAGTATGTGCCCATTGAAAGTTCATCTTCATGGTTTAGTTTATCAGGCACATACAGGCAAATGGCCAGCTTTCTGGAACAGTATTCACAGGGAAACTGATGGAGATAGGAAAACAATGAGATGTGTAGGTCTCTAGTTATTCATTCTAAGATAGCACACAGCAATCTGCATATCTGTCAGACCTCAGGAGAGGTACTATTTGCCTTGGGTTGTGGGGCTTTTAATCTGTATGATTAGGAAAACCGACAGACCTAAATACAATAGCTGCACCATGGGGGCAAGATCTGCCTCCAGCCTATCCTTCCAGCTCTGCATTCGTGGTTAATGATACCAGCGGTTCTGTCTACAAGATCAGGGAGCCAGGTACAAGCCAATAGCAGAATATATCACCTCAACTTCATGATTAGGGGCTCACCAAACCCCACCCTGGAAATAGAGGGGTATAGAAGGAAGATCTTGAATTTCGCTGTGGTGCAGAACTTAAAGCACTCTGTGCTAGTCTGTTTCTATGGAATTTTGCAGTAAACCAGCTCCTTTCCTCTGTAAGGTCAACCTGCAGGGGATCAGTCTTAGACAATTTTCTCTTACCTCTCACGTACTTCATTTGTAAAACAAGGATAATAATAGTACCTGCTCTCTCTGGGTTGGTGTGAGATCAAATGTGTTTGATATGCAAAAGAGAATGATTGGCACATGCTAAGTGCTCAATAAGCATTAGCCCTTATTATGTATCCATATAATTAAAACACAAGTGCCTTTCAAGTGATACCATGCTACACTAGTTCAGCGTGAGTCACTAACTAGAATTTCCAGAATCATAATCTACATCAATCCAGTTTGCAACCTTCTAATCCAATTATATGCAATTTCAGATCACATTGCCAGCCCCCTAAATTCTGCCTCTGCCTTTTCTATCCAATTGTTTAAGGGTCTCTCCCTAGATCCTTAAACTTGTCCACATTCTTTAGAGCTCATTTCTGCCAAGGAACTGGCTAATCTGGATGGCTTAACACTACCTGGCTGCTGTGTACTTGTGGACATCCCATACCTGAGCACCACTGAAGCTGTGCCGCTGTTTGCCTTATTATATTCAAGGACTCCTCATTCATGCTGGACTGAATTTCAGGGAGGGCCTGCCTTTTAATAAAGCTTTGTCCTTTTGTCCACTCTCTCTCCAAATCCTTTCCTTTCCCTTCCCCTTTGTGAAAGTCATTTTTGAGCCTTCAATGAGGCTTGTCTTACTCCAAATAGCAAGAACACTCCTGAGGGGGAAAAAAGAACAAAAAATGGAGATATCATTTTTCTTTATCAAACTATACTACAAAGCAATAGTAATTAAAATGGTATGGTTTTAAACTCACCAATCAATAGAGCAGAACAACTGAACAAACTAATGAGCAACTAATTTATGACAAAGGGCCCAAGTTCTTACAGTGGAGCAAGAAAAGTCTCTTCAACGGTGTTCAAATGGTGTTGGGAAAACTGTCAAATGCAAAAGAATTAAACTATATCACTCTTGGGCACCATTCAAAGTGGATTAACAATTAGGATAAAGGATCTGAAATATTAAAGTACATGGAAGAGAACATAGACCATAAACTTCTTGATGTCAGCCTTGGAGATGATCTTGGGGGCTCAACTCCAGTGGCAAGGGAAACAAAAGCAAAAATAAATAAATGGAACTATGTCAATCTAAAAAGCTTCTATGCAGCAAAAGAGGCTTGCATCAAAAAGAAAAGCCCTTCTCTGGAAGGGGAAAAGTATTTAAACATCATATGTCCAAAAGGGGTTAGTATCTAAAAGATACAAAGAACTCATAAAACAATAAAAAAGCAAACAATCTAACTAAAAAATGTGCAGAGGACCTGAATAGACAATTCTCCAAAGCAGACATACAGATAGCCAATAGGCACATGAAAAAATGTTCATCATACCTTACTATTATGGAAATGCAATTCAACACATCATTGAGATATATCACTTCACACCTATAAGAATGTCTATTATCCAAAACACAATAACAAATGTTGGAGAAGATGTGGAGAGAAGGGAATCCTTATACCCTGTTGATGGGAATGTTAAATGGTCCATTCGTTATGGAAAACAGTATGGAAATTCCTCAAAAAATAGGAATTCCATACAATCCAATTACACCATTCTGCGCATTTACCCAAAGAATACAAAAACATTAATTCAAAGAGCTATATGCACCCCCGTGTTTACTGTAGCATTATTTACAATAACCAAGAACTAGAAACAACCAAAGTACCCACCAACTGATGAGTGGATAATGAATATGTGGTAGTGCTCACTTTGGCAGCACATCTGCTCAAATTGGAACAATACTGAGAAGATTAGCATGGCCCTGTGCAAGGATGACACTCATATTTGTCATGTGTTCCATACAAAAAGGAAAAAAAGAATATGTGGTATATAAAACAAAGCAATACATGTTATAATACTTTGTAAAAAAAGAGATGCAATCATGTCATTTTTAACAACTAGGATGGACCTAGGGGTATTATGTTTAGTGAAGTAAGTCAGATGGAGAAAGACAAACACCGTATGATTTCAGTCATACATGACACAGAGAAAACAAACAGATGAACTAAAATAAAATAAAATAAAAATTTGCACTACGCAACCAATTAGTGATTACTAGAAGGGAAGGGGGGTAGAGGGGACAACTGGGACAAAGGGGGAAATTGTAAGGTGAAAGACAGAATTGCATTGTTGTAGTGACCTTAACAAAGAGTACACACTGTTGCTGACATAGTGATGCATGCCTGAAACATATAATGTTCTCACACAATGTTATTTTAATATAAACAAAAAATCAGGCTTCTCTTAGTTCAGGCTGCCATAACAAAATACCATAAACTATGTGGCTTCAACCACAAGCATATCGTTCTGGAGGCTGGGAGATCCAAGATCAAGGTGCTGGCAGTTTGTGTCTGGCTAAGGGCCTTCTTATTGGCTTGCAGGTGGCTGCCTTCTTACTGTATCCTCATGTGGCTAAGTAAGAGGTCTGCTCGCTGGTGTCTTCTCTCACAAGGGTTTCACCCAAAAGGCCCCACCTAATCCAAAAGGCCCCACCTCCAAATACCATAATTTGGGGAATTAGGGCTTCAACACATGAATTTGGGGAAGGACACAAACATTCAAGCCATAGCAAGACTACATCTCTTTTCTTTCTTTTTCTAGTCCTTTATTTTTTCATGTCTTACAGTATTTGGTGGAATAATAGAACCAAAACATAACATATTTTATAAGATAGTAATAAGGCACATAGCAGGTACTCAGAGATAAAACAAAACTCTATGTAGCAAGGTATTCCCAGCTTGCAGGAGAGACAATATATAACATTGTGATGCACTTAGTCATAATAGAACACTGTCTAGGGTAGCTGGAAAGTGATTATCTCAGTGATTATCATTGAGAAAGGGATGTGTGGATCAGAATTCAGCTTTGTCTTCTTCCATGTGCCAGATTTGAGCTTAGGACAAAGGGGAAAGTATTGTCTCTGTAGACATAACACAATTGGAACCTGAGTGTACAAAGCTAGTAATAATAAAAAAAAAGTCCAAGTCCTATAAGGTTGCTTTTGTATTTGCTTCATGTATCTGTCAATCTACCTTGCTGAACTATTTCAAAATAAATGAGACATCGTGACATTTTATCCTTAATGCTTCCACACAAATTCCAGAGGGTGGGGGGGAGTAAACCCAAAATGAATACACTCTTACATAACCACAGTGCCATTATCACACCTAACAATTAGCAAGAACAATCTACTCCACTACCCAGCTGTGCTTTATTATCCTTTTGCTCCCCACCTGCAGATGCATTACCCACGCTCTGTGCTGTGCTCTGAAGACTGGGAGGGTGACTGCCACACACTGCCAAGGCCAGACACCCAATTACGTTGAGCCAGAGGGAGTACCCACAAGCCCTAAAGTCCAACAGGGAACACTATGAAGAGGTGACGGTGGAGACAGGGCTGGGATAACTTTTCCCTGCTCCTCCCTGCTAGGCTGGCTGTTTGGCATTAGCTGCTTCTACAACTGCAACTACTGCTAAGATGCATCTTCCACTGCTCCAGCTATGAGTGGCTACCCGGGCAGGCACTCTTTCAGGCCTCATGTCACTGGCAATTGCTTCCGACTAGTCCTGAGTGCATGTGGTGGGTGCCTCGGCATCCCTGTTGGTTCCTTTAGCCCAACCCACACTTTTTAATAGTCCCTTTATAATCTTTCATGATAAGTTCCTTTGACTCTGACATCTGTTTCCTGCAAGGACCATGCCTGACATTAAAATAATCCATATTCAAATGTTTATCATTGGCCCAAAGTATTTTTAAAGCTTTTTTTTTTTTAAGTAAAAATCTAATCCTGCATTCAACTTGGTTATACCTCTTTGATCTCTTAATGTAGCAACTCCTTTTTTTGTTTTTCCTTGCCATTGACTATTTAAGAGAGCATACCAGTTACAGAATCCCCACACCTATTTAGGATATGTCCACTTGCTTCCACCCACTATCACTTAATATATTCTTCCATGCTTTGTATTTTCCTTGATTAGAATCTAATCAAAGCTTCAGATTCAACTTCCATTTTAAATGTTATTAGTCAGAACACAAGTGATGATGTATAATTTATAAGACATTATCTCAGGAGTCACAAGACATCATTAATAGTGGGGGAAATTGTACAGTAAGTTCAATTACCAAGTAATAATAGCCACATTTCTCTATTATAAAAGATCTTTTCCCTTCCTTTTGTTATTAGTAGGCAGTCTTTTAGTGTTGCACTCTGGTACCGTGTGAATATTTAGTTCTCTGTCAACCACTCTGCTAATAGTTTAGCATTCTTTATTGATGCTGATCTGGATCAATCATTTCATTAAGTCTTTCAAGCTTAATGTTTTCTAGTTCTATCATTACTTTGTCTATAGTTATTAGCTGCCACTCTTTGTAAATAAGAACTTTAATGACAGGGGCTATTTCATTTTCTTTATTGCTACAATAAAAGTAGGACAAGCCCTTTTTCCCCTTCAATTCCTTATTCTGAAATCAGGTAATCAATATAATACTATGATTAGCATGAACTTGATGCTTTGTTTCACTAATGAGTTCTCGGAACTTTGTACAATTCAATATGAATTGGTTATCAGGAAAATTGAATGCTATACTTTCTATTACACAATATATTCAAGTCCATCTGCTGCTTCAATGATTGCTGCAGAAGTGTCCTCATCAGCCTTGGTCATCCATTCAGGCCCAACACTGACAGAGCCAGACCTTAGCTAGCACAAACCATAGGCACAAAAATAATTATCAGTAGCTGGCAATAATACAGTTAGTTGCAGGCTCATAGGAGCACTCAAAACACATTCTAAAGGGCTATTATCTCTTTCCTTTGTAAGCTATTAGTTTCACAAATCTCTAATAACAAGATCTTGAAGCTTTACTTATTGTTAGATTGCTTTCTCTACATGTATACTGAAATAAGTCATTTTGTGCCCCTAAGTGCTTCTCTCTGGAAGAAATAATGGGTTTTTAAGAGCAAAGTAGTGAAACTTGTGGATTCCTTTTGATTTTTATAAGCAACTGTTTGGGGGTTGGCCATTTTTTACCTCCCTGTGTTCCTTTGTATGCCTGAGTCACACTGTGGGCTGTCACAGGTGTTTGCTGCAGGTCACAGCTTCCTCCCAGCAATGCTTTTTCTCTATATAGGCCTTTTTGTAGCCCCTGCTTCTTTGTAGCTGTTCCTCAATTACAGATGAAAGCAGAGGGAGAAAACCAGTCTAAAAAAAAAGACTTTCATGGCCATTATCAGTGAAGAAAGCCCTTCTCCAATAAGACTAGCAATAACTAGCTGCAATTTCTAACATTCCTGTGGTCATCACAAATAAAACCTCCCTCAATAGTTGATGAAATATTCATAGTCATTGACAAAACATCAAATGACTCATATATGCCCAGAGCATGAAAACTATAGAATGTATTCCAGAACATTATGATAGAGTCTGTCTGGTCTTTGGCTTGTTTGGGTTCAGATCCATTCTTTGTCTTCCCCCTGTCTGTTCTGTGGAATAAGCACTGTCCCCTGCAAATCAGTTCCCTGTGTATTCATTCTCTATTGTTGTGCAATAAATTGCCACAAATTTAGTGGCTTAAATTAACACCCAATTATTATCTGATTCTGTGCTTCAGTTTCTGGGTGAGCTCAGCTGGCTCTCTGTTCAGGGCCTCACAAGGCCCACATCAAGGTGGTGGCTGGGCTCTTAAGTACAAGCTCAGGGTTAGGATCTGCTCCCTCCTTGTTCATTTGGGTTGTTGATCTGATTCAGCTATGGGGCTGCTGGCTGCCAATGAGAGATTGGACCTTGCATGGTCATTGACTGGGGGTCACCCTAAGAGGAGCATGACCTGGGCTCCAGGTTGAAATGGACCATGGTGAAGTCAACCACTCAAAGAAGTTATAGAAAACTCCTTGTGGCCAGGCAGAGAGACCTTTCATTTCAGAGGATCTAAGTCAAGGATTGGCAAACTGCAGCTGGGTCTGAGGGCCAAGTCTGGTCTGCCAGCTGTTTTTATACAACCCTGCAAACTAAAAATGGTTTTCATATTTTTAATGTTTACATTTTAATTTATTATGTAAGTAGCTATATAATACCTCTATTATATTCTATTATATTCTGCTTAGTCCACAGAAGCTTAAATATTTATTATCTGATTCTTTATGGAAAAAAAAATCAGTGAAACCGTAAATTCTGTGCAGAATATCTTGGTTGTCTGCATAAACCTGGCAGGTCGAATGAGAAGTCTTGGGAGGGGAAGCTCTGATACTTGGGAAAGGGAGAAGGTGGGAGACACCCTGATTAGAAAAGAACCAAATTCCAGGATCATGAAAGCATGGCAGGCCTAAAAAATGAAACTATCATTTCAATCTTCCTAGAATTGAATGTAATTTTTTTAGTCTTTGCTAATTTATTGCAAGAAAATGCTTTTGCTTTAATTTGCATATCATTTGGTTACTAATAAAGTTGGAGTTAGATTTTTTTCATATGTTAATCTGAAGAATTGCAAATGACTGCCACAAATAAAATGAACAGATTTCTGATCTGAGGTAAAAAACAAAGTAGTTGATATCCATAAAAATACAATAATCTATAAAGTGGAAAATATTTTAACATCTCAACCAAAACGCTATTCTTTTAAATGTGTTAATATATTTTAAAAAAGTGAATTTTGAAGCCTAGCTTCTAAGTCCAAACCTTCATAGTTGGACATTTTGAAATGCATAGCCAGTTTCGTAACACCCAATACAAGTCTACTTTTCTATCAAGTTGGCAAAACTCAATAATTGTGCTCCTAAGATTTGTGTTATCAGAGGAGCAAATTTTTTT